CCAGAACTTATGTACTGGACCATTCATTCTGGCCTCCAAGAAGGGTACACAGAAGTGACCCATGGACTGGAAAGCACTGTGCCGATGCGTGGTGCTATTTTGTCTTGACTCCGAGGTGTGGATTCCTAACAGAGTTGGGGTTGCTGCTTTGCATGCCCACTGTGCTCTTGTTTCCCTGGAGATCACAGTGGCTTTTTCTGCTGTTGTCCTTATCCTCACCTGGCTTATAAAGGGAGTAGAGGCCAATCTAAGTCTCCCCTTTGATGAATGGTAGACTGAAACTTCAAAAGAGTAGGTGACATGCTCAAAGTAGAGCAGGGATGAGTGCTGAGCTCCATAGGGTCAGCTCTGGTACCATCATGCTGTGTGGATTGAGGAACATCTAGACTGAATGATCCAGTGCCCACTTTTCTAGGGGCATCTGTTTCCTGAACTTCCTGTAAATGTCTCATCCCCATGTCTGGAAAAGGAGCTTGTCTCATCTTTTGACTCTTACTGGTGGCTGTGAGGTCTGAGCTGCCCAAGCAGAGGAAACCACACTGTCCCTTCCTTCCCTCCTGTCCTAGGGGACTGGGCACCGATTCCACCTCTCCTCTGATGGCAGCCAGCTTTCCTAGCTCCATCTGTCTCAAAAGCCCATAGACACTGTAACTGAAATTTAAAAAAATCATTTCAAATATTTTATATTTCATAGTAAAAGACTATTTTAAAAGTTTCTTTCTTTCCTTTTTTCTCTTTTTTAAAGCAGAATGGTTGCCATTTAGCCCTGCCCTGGGACTGGGGCTGGGGCAGGGGCCTTGGCTGCAACTTGTGCCCTAGGCTAGTCCTCCAGGAACACCTGCGGGTTCCACCAGGAGAGCTGGGCCTTGTGACTGGTGACCCAGAGCAGGCTCTGGGCTGGGTTAAAGAGCAACTTTGGGGGAGAAGGAACCCACTGGGTAGATGTTAGGGGGATTTGGCACTTCCTGTGGCTCACTTTGTAATTGTTCTGTCCTCTCTCTTGAGCTTTGCTTTCAGAGCCTTAGCTTTCCCACCTGTGAAGTGGGCATTGCATAAATTATGCATTTGTGTAGGTTTCAGAATCAGTGGACTGGGCTTGATAATGTGGCTGATACCTATCTGTATAGATTATCCTGCAGCAGTGGCTGAGGTCAGCCCTGTCACCATGGGGTGGGCTGATTGTGTGGACTGGCAGGGAGACACTCAGGTAAAAGGATACCCAGACCTCCGTGAGCCTCCCTGTCCCTATCTGTAACATGGGGATAACAGGAGACAACATCTCAATGTGGCAGATGGGTGGCTGAAATGAGCTAACAGGTTAGGTCACTGCTGACCTGCTCTGAGCTCACAGATATGGGTGCTGCCCCTGGGTCCCCTGTCACCTTAGTTCATCCTCACCTCCACTACAATGGGCTTGCTGTTGAGTCAGCTGAGATCTGGGAGGAAGCTGCGCTGGCTCACAGAGTGCTTCCCTTTTCTCTTGGCTCACAGTCCATCCCAGAGAACTACAGCCCCCTCCTCACCCACCCCCACGCGGAAGAGGCAGAGTAAGGGGTGACAGACAGGAAGCTGAGCAGGACTGAGGCCGGAGGCGGAATCATAATACAGAGTAACTGTAACAGCTTCCGCAGCCCTGTGCCAAGTGCTTACGTTCATTGATAACCCTGTGAAATTGGCGGCAACCACCCATACCCATGACCTACAGAGGTTCAATAACTTGCTGGAGGTCACACAGCCTCAGAGCTTGAGAGACAGAGCTGAGCAAGGCAGAATCTCTAGCAGACTCTCATCCACTTCCGGAGCTCATGGAGTAGAATGAAAAGCCTTGTGGGAACCTCCTTTCTCCCTCTTCAGACCTTCACCCTAGGGATGAAGGGACTCTGGGTCCATCTGGCCTTTCCTATTCCTGATCCCAGTGGCATTGGGGAAGTTCAGGATGCAGAGAGTTCTATTCCCTCCCCAAGTATCCTTTGTGACTGCCATGGACCAGAATCCCAGGTGGCAGAAATTAGTTCAGGATGGCAGCTTCTGAGGCCTTGAAATAAGCTCCCTGCCTACTCCCAAGGCTCCCCTGCTGCCTTCCAGATGTTTGGGTCTGGATCCTTCCTGGTCTGGGTCTCCTTATACCTGAGTGTCTCCATAGACTGTGAGGCCCTTTGTGAGGGCATCTATCAGCCACCTCTTCCCCGGAATAGGTGTGATGGACATTGTTCACACATGGTCTGTGTGGTGGGGGCTGTGCCTCAGCCTGGGGCAAGTGTAATCCTATCTCTTTCCCTCACACAAGAAAGCTCATCAACAGACACTCCAAAGATGGGCTCATCACCAAGTCCCTCTAATTAGTAAAGAGTAAGGAATTGCAGAAGGGATTCTGTGCTCAGTAACCCATGTCACGCCCACTGCAATAACCCCTGGCCACAGCCATGAGCTGTGTCTGGCTCACCCTGGTGCTTCTTCACCTAGTGCCCTGTATGATCTGGAGGAGGTATTGGAGTTGGCAGAGGGAGCAGGCAGAGTAACCAGGTAGCTGTTCATTCTCACCTCCACTCTCACTTGTAAAGCTTTTTCTTCTTCTTATCTGTCTGTCTATATGTCCTTCCTTCCTTCTTTATGTTTTGGTATTGGGGATTAAATTAATTAATTAATTAATTATTTTTGGTACCAGGGATTGAACCCAGGGGTTTTTAACCATTGAGCCACATCTTTAGCCTTTTTTTGGGGGGGGGTATTTTATTTAGAGACAAGGTCTCACTGAGTTGCTTAGAGCCTTGCTAAGTTGCTGAGGCTGGCTTTGAACTCATGATCCTCCTGCCTCAATCTCCTGAGCCACTATTATAGGTGTGTGCCAACACACCCTGTTTAATTTTATTTTAAGGACAGGGTTGCATGAGGTTGCCCAGATTGGCCTTGAACTTATGATCATGATCTTCCTGCCTTAGCCTTCTGAGTTGCTGGGATTATTGGCCACTGCTCCTGGTGAGCTCCTTTTTCTTTGTTAGAACTTCATCAGTAGAGGGAGAGAGGAATCTAGCTCATCTGGCTGGGGATGGATTGCTGGTTCTTGTGAACTCAGGGGTCATCTGGCTTCCAGCACCACTAAATCCAGGAGCTCAGATGATGCTTTAAGACTGGATCTTTCTTGTGTTTCCCTGTCTGCCTGTTTTCTCCCATGCCCTCCTAGGGGTTGGCTTAATTTTCCTGCATTCCTCACAGCTCCAGGCTTCTGTCCTGTGGTTTAGCAACCATGGGGAAAGCTGGGAGGAGCCTCATGAGAGTATTAGTGGTCTGCTTAGGTCTTCTGAACCTGTCACTGGGACCAGGAGAGTGGATGCACTGGTTGACCCCAGGAATCCCTCCTGACCTGGGGATGAATTGAGCACAGAGGTGTTTCTCTGAGGGAGGCCAAAGGGAGGCAGGACAGGCAGGACCTGAAGTATCTGTGGGATTTGTTGAACATTTCCTGAGCATCAATGAGCACAGCAGGGGTGAGATGCACTGGTGACGTGGGAGTAGACATTCACTAGGAGCTCAGGGGTCTGAAGCCATCCAAACTGTGAGCCTTCCTTTTCTGGGGCATAGGTGGGTGTGGGAAACGCCTGAACCCACGACCTCTGGGCTTCTGCTGGGAACCAGGTGCCTTGGAGAAGGAAGCCAGTCCCCAGCTCTGCCCTGGGCTTGGCCCCTGAAACTGTTCCCTCAGCCTATCTGGAGTGCAGCTTGAGGCCACTGTGGTGTCCCCTGTTGTGGGGGAGTCAAGAAAATTGAAATCCTTGAGCCCTTTGTCCATGACCTGGGGATGACCCCTGGTACCTTAGCACGGAGGCTTTGATTCCCAGAGTGGCAGTTGGCCCCCAACAGGACACTGCAGGCAGGGTGGGCCAAAGGGAGAGGCCTGTGGCAGCAGCTCCAGCAGCTTCATATCCTTCTCCCCACTGCTGCAAAACAGGCTGGGTCCTGGCACCCCATCAGTGACCACCTTTCCTGTTCTCTGCTGTAGTATCTGTGCCATACCCCCTGAGGGCCTGTCATCTGTGAGCACCTACTGTGTCACTGACATGGGTAGCACTGGTGCATGCAGCAATGAGGACTAGCCCTGTGGTTCCAAAATTGGTAAGAAGCTGGGCAATGCTCTGGCCTCTGACTACATGCTTAAAGGAGCCTGAGAACACATGTGTGTGTGTGTGTGTGTGTGTGTTTGAGTGTGCATGCGAAGGCAGTTCACAGGCACATGTGCACTTGAGTGTGTGCATGTGTATGTTGATGTGTACGTATGAGCACCTCTGTCTGTGTTTGTGTGTGCATAAGTCTATGTGGGCATTTGTAAATAATGGGAGGAGCATGTAGCTGACTCCATTGAAGTCTGTGTGGGCCTACATGTGAGCGTGCATTTGTGCACATGTGAGTGTGCCGTGATTGAACTCGAGTGTGCAGGTGTCTGATGACTTGTATGTGAGTGTGCCCATATGTACCTTTTCATCCTGTGCACATATATGCACATGTGTGCATGCCCATATGCTGATGTGCCCATGTGTGTACTTATGTCCGTGTGTGTGGATGGTGCAATGAGATGTGCTGAGCCACAGTGGAGCAGCAGGTGAAGGTCCCTGTCTCAGGAAGGCCCAGGGAGTGTGAGGGGCCCCAGTCATCAGGGCTCCTGGCTTCCAGCTGGGTCCCTCCATCCCTCCCAGGCGTGGTTGTGGGAACACTTGGGCCTCCTTTGGGTTCCGGGAAACCGGGGCTGTGTGGGCCCCACTGCCGAATGTGGCAGTGGTGCAATCTGCCAGCTGAGCCCCTTCCGGAGCTGTGGGTTCCTCTGGGCGTGGGGAAGCTGCCCTTTGTGACCTCCCTTGACAGCTTTGGTGCCTCCAGGAGGGCAGGACACACCTCCCAGCCCTGCAGCCTCACCCACAGGAAACTCTGGTTGGGGGCAGGCGAGGAGGGAGGTGCTATGCCCGGTGCCCCGCCCTGTGCTGTGGCCTCTGACCCTGTAGCAGCACCACGGCTGTGGCCCTCTTTCTTACAGCCCGGGGGACATCGCTGGGAACCTGGAGCCCTGAAGCCACCACCATGTTTGGCAGGAAACGCAGCGTCTCCTTTGGGGGCTTCGGATGGTGGGTGACAGAGGAAAGGGCAGTTGAAAGGTTGGGAGTGAACTTGAAGGTGGAGTGCTATTGAGCGCCTTGGCTGCCTATGAGGAACAGGGGATCAGGTTGTGCCTGAGACCTGCGTCTGCAGGGGGCACTTTCAGAAGTCTGGGTGGAATAGGCATGGATGATCTTGGAGGCATCAGAGACTGTAAGCTTTTCCTCCCTGTCCCAGGGGCACACTCTGCCGGGGATCCAGGTCAGAGCTGGCCATCAGCTTGGGTGTGTGACTAGTTGAACATGCATGTCTCTGTCAGTATGTTCTCATCCATGTAGGTGCGTGTCTGTGATTATTTCTGAATGTGTGTGTGTGTGTGTGTGTTTGCAGTTGTGCATGTGTGACCCTGGCTGCTACTCCGTGTGGTTGTGAGTGAGGTTTGTGCCTGGCTAGATGGATGTCCCTCTGTGACCACGTGGGTACTGTGTGTTTTGGAGCAGGTGCCTGCCTGCATCTCTGGTCTCGTGTGTGTGTGTGTGTGTGTGTGTGTGTGTGTGTGTGTGCTCCTGCTGTGCTGTGTTGTAACCCCACAATAGGGCCTCCTCTGGGCTTCTTCCTCTCTGGGGGTCAGCTGTGAGAGGAGGGGACAGGCCTCGCTCCCCTGACTCTCACTCCATCTAACCTAAGAAGCCAGTCTGTGTCCAGTCTCCTGCCTGAACACCTTTTGCCTTTAAACTTTTGTCTGGAACATGAGAGCTTCACTTTCCTTTCCAGAGGGCCAGAAAATGGGGAGACTGAGGTCAAAGGCTTGTCTCTGGTTACCAGCTGCTGACAGCTTCTCCTCAGCTGGGGAAAAGAGCCTAGTGGTTTTTGTTATCAGTTTCCTTTCAGCTTCTGGTCCTGGGGGAGGGTGCTAGGGCAGGGTGACTGGGGTGTCCTGGTGGAGAAGATGGTGGGGAGGCACAGGAGGGCTGAGAAGGGTTGGACTCTATCCCCCTAATTAATTACATGCTTCCATATATGTGTGGCTTTTTATTTCCCTTTCACCATCCATCCTCCTGCAGGCAGGGGTTATGGGCATCCATGTTTGGCAGATGGGACAGGAGGATGAGATGGGTGGTGCAGTGTGGCTTGCCTGTTCATGGGTTCTCCTTGATACCTCGACCAAAGGCTGTGGTCCTGATGGTGGGGTCTGGGTTTGAATCACACAGTCTGCTTCCTGCTCTGGGATGTATGTGGGAGGCTGGGCTGGGATTCCTGCCTGGGCAATGGAATCATGTCTTCCCAGGCCCAACATTCTTTGCAAGGTGTGACACACACAGTGGGACTGTCATTGGAAAGCTCCCTTTGCAAGATTCAGGTCTCAGTCTGGTTTTGTCCCAAGTGAATCCCACATTCCTATGTTGCAGTGCTGGGCATTGAGACCCAGCGTTCCAGAGTCCTGAGGCAAATCTCAGCCTGTGGTATGAACTTGGCTAGGTGAGGGGGAGATATGAATGTGGCCACCCAGGGCTGCCTTGAAGGCAAAGAGGAAGGTTGGGGAAGAGACCTAGTATGTCCAGGAGACCCCACGTGCTGATTACAGTGACTACTAGGCTGGGTTCCATGAGGGTGGACCCAATTCCATCTTATTCATGGTCTCTTGGACACTTGGCACGGCACACCTGCTCAGTAAGTGCTTGTGAGCTGACTAGGTGAGATGTTTTTGCATGCTTCAGGTGGTGGGTTGGGGCCCACTAAGTCTAAGGGGATGGTGGGGCCTCCTGATGAGGTGGAAGGGTAGGGCAGCAGTGTGGGCATCGCCTAAGGATGGTAGTCACCTAAGAGGGGATGTCACAGCTTTTGGGGAGCTAATTACAGATTCTTGGAGTTCTGGTCCCTCTAGACAGTGAAGAGAATCTTGGGGGCATGTTTTAAAAGTTCCATCCATCACCAGTCCATAGCCATTGGCCTCAGGCAGAATTAATTGTGAGAGTGAGTCAGTGGAGGGAGGAGGGTTAGGGACTTGGCTTCCTTCCCCAAAGCCGGTGCCCCATCTCCTCTCCTAGCCCTGCCCAAACCACACGCCCTGCTGTTCTGGGGCCATACATCAGCGTGGGAACCCTGGGGGACAGACTGTTGCCAGATAGACTAGGTTGTGGGCTCAGGGATAGGGCCTGCTGTGGCCCTGAGAGCTGGTGGGCAGCAGAGGTCAGGCTGACCAGACAGAAGCCAGGAGGGCACACACAAGGAGTCCAAGATCTTGTAGTGGCTCCACTTAGACTATTGAGGAACTTCAGTGGGACACTTCCTCTCTTTGGGTCTCAGTTTCCCCATGTGTCAGTGAAGATTTCTTCCTTCCCCACAGCACAGGGCTGTTGTAAAAATTAAACGAGAGGGGCTGGGGTGGTGGCTCAGTGGTAGAGCGCTTGCCTTGCATGTGTGAGGCACTGGTTCGATCCTCAGCACCACGTAAAAATATATAAATGAAATAAAGATATTATGTCTATATATAACCAAAAAATTATATGTATAAAATAACTTCAACCCTGCACAGATTTTATATATATATATATAAAAGACAAAACATAAGATGTGAGAGCTTATTATTAGGGTGGTGATTGGGTAATTATGGGAGGAATATTCCAGTAGGTGTGGGGTTCTGACTCCTGGGCAGATCTGGGATCTGGAAGATTAAATGGGAGAGGAAGAGGTCTTCATCCAAGAGGATGGGGCCCCAGGACAGAGTGAGGGGAAGAAACTGGGAAGGACATGGGCCAAGGACACTCAGGGTGCAGATTGTTTTGCTGTTGGGCACCGAGAACAGGGTGCTGGGAGCTTATTCAGAGAGAGAGGATCCTACTCTCAGCTCAAAGTTTCTGCTAACCTGAGGTGTGTGTGGGGAACTGTGTCCTCATCATGTGGCCTTCTCTCTTCCTCTGTCCCCCACTGGCCTCAGCAGTCATGTGTATGGGAAGCTTGAGGCAGAGCTAAGCTGGCTAGATAGTGGTACCCAAAAGAACTTTCCAGGGTTTCCTGCATTTTGGAAGTGATGGTGATTTTGGTGACTCCGATAATGATGGGCACACTTGGGGTTGCACTGATAGTGATGTGACACCGACAGTGTTGGCGATACTGATAGTGATGGTGACACAGGTGGTGACCCTGGTGATCGTGATCTGTAAGCCGCAGGAGACTCAGACAGTGGGAATATTGCCCACCTCTCTGTCTCTGGAGAGGGGGAAGGAAACTCCCTTTGCCAGCCATAAGGGCTGGCATATGCAGGGGGTAAAAATAGAAGCTCCCAGCACTGCCTCCTCTGCCAGCGAGGGCGGGCGCAGGCTGGGGTGGAGGAGCGGCTGCCAGGACAGTCTGCAGCAAACGTGATCTTCCCTGCTCCCAGCTCCAGCGCTTGATGGAACACCCTTGATGGTTCTTCCTGGAGCCTGCCATTGGGTTTTGTCCCAGGGGGGGAGTCTGCTTGCCCAGATGGACAGGCAGCTCCTAGAGCAGGAGGGTCCCAGTTACTAGAAAGTGCTCATATCTTCCCAAAGCTGAAGGCCAGGAGATGTGGATGTGTTGGTTGTCCTCATACCAATGAGGGATCCAGCTGGGTTGCACAGGTCCCTTGTGGGGATAGGAATAATAAAGGGAGAGGCTACATAAAAAAGGGCTTAAGACCCCCTTAATGCAGATATCTAGAGTCAGACTGGGTCAGGGACTTCACCTTTCTGAGCCTGTTTCTTCATTATTAAAACGGGAAGAATAAAAGTACCCATCTTATAGGTCTATGTGTAGCCCCAGGCCTTCCAAAGTACACAGTCCTCTGTCCCTGGGCTGGAGGAGAATTGGCTCTGGAGCTGTCTGCTACAGGGCCCTGCAGTCTAGTGAGCTAGGCCCACCCTGGGACCCTTCTGCTGCAGATACCCGGTGGGAGACTTCAACCCTGCACAGATTGACGCTCTGTTTTTTTCTCTTGGCAGGATCGACAAGACCATGCTGGCGAGTCTGAAGGTCAAGTAAGTAGCCACTTCTTATTCTGTAGAGTCAGAGATGGCAGCCAACCATGCTCTCCCAGGGCCGCGGTTCCCTCCCATGTTGTGTGAAACACAGTGGGGCTGTTGCGTGGTCCGATCCCAGTCTCAGTGGAGGTGGCTTCCCTGTTGGAGGAGGCTGGAGTAGGCTCTTGATTTCTGGATGTCCAGGGAAGGCAGAGTTGGGGTTGGAAGCAGGAGGGACCAGCGAGGTGGGAATGTGTACAGAGGGTGTGACTTTGAAGCCACACACTTAGTAGTAAGAAAGATAATTGTCCTTTTCTATCACTTTAATTTTTATGTGAAGACCCAGTTCCATCAGGATGTCTTTCAGACGTTTCTCGTCTCCTTGAATAATTGTGCCACACAGTTCCAGAGCCTCATAAAACACACTTGGTGTGTGTGTGTGGGATTAGCTGGTCATTGATTCACCTATTACCTAGGCACCTCTGAGGCTTCCATGGCAGAAGTCCTGCTTGGGCTTGGGAATTATCTGCCTTGTGTTACCATGTGTCTGCTTGTCTGTCTGGGGAAGCCCTATTTAGTACCTCTCTCTCTTAGATACTCTGTCGTCTCTTCCCTTCCTTATCACCTTGTTCTTTTCTCTCTGTGTTTCTGCAAACCATCTTGTCTGCATCTTGATCCTCTATATTTTTTTTTACATATTTTATTTATTTTTTAGTTTTCGGTGGACACAACATCTTTGTTTGTATGTGGTGCTGAGGATTGAACCCGGGCCGCATGCCAGGCGAGCACGCTACCGCTTGAGCCACATCCCCAGCCCCTATTTTTTTTTTTTTTTGAGACTTAACTCAAGTTTAAGAAACTTCTGCATCCTTCTCGTGGGGTCAATGAAGACATAATAACCACCTGCTCAAATTGAGTGAATTGAAAAGGAGGAAAATTCTAGGAGGGAAAAAGTATTGGTCACTAACTCAAAATATTCCCCTGCCACATGTGAATTAATCCTAAAAGAAAATTCCTCCAGTGAGTTGCCTTGTCAGAGGTAGCTATTCTGGGTTGTCACTGCTCATCTCTACAGAAAAGTTTCCCATTCAGTTGCCAGCACTGATTGTGTCTCCTTGGATAGAGGTCCCTGGGCAAGGTATAGCCAGTCTTGAGGGTTGACGTATAAGGGGATCAAAACAAGGGGCTTCTTACTGTGGTCTGTTTTACTCAGAAAAGTGAGGGTGGGCAGTTAGCAGGGCTTGGATGGAACATAGAATGTTCCTGCCCTTTGAGGGCTTTCAGTCTCTTTGTAGGTATTATACTAGGGGTGCTGTGGAGCAGTCCTGGAAGACTGCTGGGAGGAGGTGGCTTCTAAAGCTGCAGCATGACAGTGGGGCCCCCTGTGCCTGGGTTGGCAGGGTGTGTATATTTGTGCAGTCCAGGGTTCAGGATGCATCATCTCAGGCCAGGACACTGAACTTCTCTGGGCTTCAGTTTCCATATCTTTTGTCCCACAGACACAGCCATGTCTCGCCTTCCAAGAGCTTCCCAGGGCATATCTGCATATTGAATGAGATGTGAGGCATGAAGCAGAGTTGCTTTGGGGTGGAGTAGAAGTGTTTCTTTGGGGGGTGGTCTTGGGAAATCCAGTGCAAATGCATAAGCATTTATTGAAGGTCTGTGTGTTTTAACTGGTAAATAAAATATTTATAACATGGAGGGAAACTAGGTATAAGGTAGAGTGAAGGGCTGGGGGCATGGGCCAGTGTTAGGTTTGGGACCCCGTCAGGTCCCTGGGCATATGGGGAACTGTCTGAAAGCTTAGGCCCTTGGGAAGTGATATTGAGATGATGGTTTGGGACAAGATGTAGGACTGAATTTCTAGTTGTAAGATTCTTTTGATTGCAAGAAACAAAAACCTGGTGTATTCTGATTAAGCTAAAGATGGATTTAAGCTGCCAGGGTGCCTTAGGGAACCCCAGGAGAGAAAGTGGAGCTACTGCCCAGGAGGGATTCAACCAGGAACTATCTAGTTCCCTATTCTATCAGAATCCAAGTTAGTTTCTTTGCAGAAATTGGTAAACCAATCCTGAAATTCATATGGAAACTCAAGGACAATCTTGAAAAAGAAGAACAAGGTTGGAGGACTGTACTCCTGATTTCAAAACTTATTGCAAAGCTGTGGATGGTGCGGTCTTGGCAACATGGTAGACATACAGATTAATGGAATAAAATTTGGAGTTCAGAAATCCTCATATATATGGTCAAATGATTTTTCACAAGAGTGCAAAGACAATTAATGGAGAAAATAGTCTTTTCAACAATGGTGCAAGGACAACTGGACATCTATATTTAAAACCATGGAACTGGAGCCCTCTCTTGCAAACACCATATGCAGTCAAATGGACAAAAAAACCAAGTCTAAGAGCTAAAATTATAAAACTTTTGGAAGAAAACATAGGTGTAAATCTTTGTGACCTTGGGTAACACAATAGTTTCTCAGAAAGGATCCCAATAACTTAAGCAACAACTATAAAAATAAATTAAACATCACCAAAATTAAAAAAAAAAAACAACTTTTGTGCTGCAAAAGACACTACCAGGAAAGTGAAAAGACCACTCACAGAAGGGGAAAAATATTTTCAATTCACCTATCTGGTAATGAACTCATACCTATAATGTATAAAGAACACTTGCAACTCAGCAATCAAAAGACAAATAACATGATGAAAAAGCGGGCAGCTGGGTGTAGTGGTGCACACCTGTAATCCCAGCAGCTTGGGAGGCTGAGGCAAGAGGATTGCAAGTTCAAAGTCAGCCTCATCAACTCAGCAAGTTCTTAGGCAACTTAACAATTTCCTGTCTCAAAATTAAAAAAAAAAAAATAGCTGGGGATGTGGCTCAGTGGTTAGGTGCTCCTGGGTTCAATCCCTGGTATAAATAAACAAACAAACAAGAAACCAGAAAAAGTGGGCAAAGAGGGCTAGGGATGTAACTCTCAGTGGCAGAGCACTGAGGGCATGTGTGAGGCCTTGGGTTTGATCCCTGGCACCATGAAAACAAAAGCAAAGATTTTTATAGACATTTCTCCAAAGAAAATATGTAAGTGGGCAACAATCACATGAATAGATGCTCAAACACATTATTAGCCACCAGGGAAATGCAAATGAAAGACACAATGAGATATCACTTCACAAACAACAGGATGGCTGTAATAAAAAAGAGTCATCAGTGTTGTTGAGGATATGGGGAAATTGGAACCTTCATACACATTGCTAGTGAGAATATAAAGTGATGGAATTCCTTTGGAAAACAATCTGGCAGTTCCTCAAAATGTTAAGACGTGGAGTTACCATATGGCCAGCAATGCCATTCTTAGGTCCACCAAAAAATTTGTAAACAAATGTTCATAGTTATTAATAATAAGCAAAAGTAGAAATGACCCAAAAGTCTATCAACAGATGAATAGATAAACGAAATGTGGAATAATACTTGACCAAAAGAAGAAATGAAGTCCTGATGCATACATAGTGTAGCATGGATGAACTTTGAAAACTCTACATGGAAGAAGCCAGATGCCAAAAACTACATATTGAATGATTCCATTTACACGAAATGTCTAGAATAGGCAGATCCCAAGAGACAAAGTAGATAAGTGTTTGCGTAGGGCTTGGGGGTTTGTTGGGAAGGGAAAAGGGGAGTGAAACCTAAATGATACAGGCTTCTTTTTGGGATGATGAAAATATTTTGGAACTAGAAAGTTCAGGAGTACCAATGTTAGGTTTGGGGCCCCGTCAGGTCTCTAGGTACCTGGGGAACTGTCTGAGAGCTTAGGCCCTTGGATGATAATGACAAATAGTGGTTATGGTTGCACAATCTCGTGAATGTATTAAGAACCTTTAAGAAAGTGCATACACTTAAAAGCGTTATGTAAATTACATCTCAGTAAAGCTTTTAAAAAGAGTCTGATTGGCTCAGGCCTTGTCAGTTGTATAGTTGTGATCCAGTCAGTTTAGCTGGAGAAAAGGGGACTCAAACATGGCTGCTATGGCAGCCACTCTTGGTGGGAGGGGTTAGTTCTTAGAGTAGAAGGATGGGCTGTGGGCTGTGCAGATGTGGTAGGAGGTGGTGTCCAGGAATCTTCACTTCCCTGGGGGTGAAAAAGATCAGCTCCCACCTCCTTCTTTCTGGGCATTGCCAGTAGCTTCTGTAGATGCAGTCTTTTGTGTTCACTGCTGAGCAGCGGATATTCCTGGGCTGTGGCCCTTGCTCCATGAGCTTTGGCTCCCTATCTAGGGACCCAGTGTCCGTGACTTCAAGTCAGCCATGTAACTCTTGGACCTGTCCCTAAGGCATGTGGCTCTGAAGATGGGAGTCTGACTCCACCATAATTAGGCACTGACTATGTGCTTAGATTTCATTGCACTGCTTTCTGAAGGCTTTGCAACCACTTCACAGAGCAGGCACCCTTGCTTTCTGCATTTTAGAAATGAGAAAATAGAGACTTGGAGAGGTTAGGAAACTTGTTCAAGCTCCTCAGCAAGTTAAGTTAGGGAATTAGGATTTGAACCAGGTCTGTACTTTGCTCTGTCTTGGGTGGAGCTGAGTGGTTCTCAGCACCTAATTCCCCACCCTGCTTTCCTGCTCTCTTCCTTATGTGCCTAGGAGTGGAATGTTTTGGTCCAGTCTCCCTGCTCCAGGCCCAGATTTAGAGGGGCCTGTAATGCCTGAATGAGGAAGACTCCTAGAGGGCAAGGACTTACTTAACTGCATTGGTGGCACAGAGCCACACAGGAACATGGAAAGGGGGGTGGTGGCCGTGCCATGCAGGAGAAAGAATTGTGGGTTGGCAGGCCCAGGTTATAGCTCCAGGTTAACAAATGGGTGAATCATTAACTTCTCTGGGTCTCAGTTTCCTCATCTGTAAAATGAGAGGATTGGGCTAGTGAACAACCTGCTCTCTAGCTTTAACATACTGGCTTACGTGCACAGCTGTTGTTATTTCTTCCAGAACCTTGGCTGAGATGGTAGGTCCT